CGCTATTTATGAACGAGTAAAAGTATATTGTTGCTTGTCAATTTACAAATTGTGAGTTGTCTTAAGCATCAATTAGACGCGATCACCCTTGAAAAAATACTTAAAGCGGACAATTACAGTAGCACAAACCTACATCCTAATACATACATATGTATGTAGGTACTCTTGTGTGTGTGCGCACTTTTACATTTGTGTGCGTAATTGATTTAAATAATTGAGTGCATCAATGCAACGACCGTTATATGCAAGGTTTTATAGAAAAGCGATGTCAGAATGATAAGCATTCAGCAGCAAATGCAAGCAAGGGTCTCGCTTTTATCTTGTTTGCCTGAAGTGAAGAGCTTTAAGCACATAAATTATACTCTTTAGCAAATATACAGTGGCGTATAAAAGCATTTGTCTTATTCACCACCGGCAGAGTGCATTCTTCATAGGTGCAGCATCTGTGTTATTTTATGTAGATTTTTTTTTGGTTTATATCGAAAAATTCTGAAAGTGAGCATTCAATTTCTGATCTAAAAAATTAAACATTGCACTTCACCTTTATAATTTTACCCTGCATTAAACTTCACATGCCTGGCGGAGCGTATTTAAAAAACAATTGGGCATATTCATAGACGAAATAAAGTCGATTCTAAAGTTAAGTTAGGTATGCTGGCCAGCCACCATAAGTTAAGTTCCCGTTTAATCGCTTGGATGGAAATCCAATTAGGAGGCCGAGTTCCGCGCGTAAGACTGCCGCCCCTACGCTCTTCTCCATCTGAACTATAGAGTATATAGTGGCTTCGAAGTTCGTTCCAATGTGCACTTTCTATTCTCTTAAGAAACATTTTCTTCTCCAATACTGTCCACCAATACCCCATGAAATAGTATCGGCCTGACTATCGCAGTGAAGATCCAGTGATAAAGAGGAGGCGATAAGCCCCAGGTGCAGTACAGCATCTTTTGAATGCAAAGAATGTCACGGGGGCCATCTTCGTTCCTCCACATTGATCTGCCTCGACAGCTTGCTTGCTTGGTGCTTTGCTTCACCTGGAGGGTCACCTCATCCAGCCAAGCTTGGACCATTTCGGAACCTTGTATTTCCTGGCGGAGAGTACCAGCCCCACTTCGGTTGCCCAAAGATGTATCAGCCATAGTTCTTGACTCACAAATAAGCTGAGTGTGGACAGACACTTTCCGCTTACTATGACAGTAAGTTCCGCTTATGCAGTAAGTTCGACTGGTCCTGAGCCCGCAAAGTGGTTGCGGCTCCACAAGGGCAGACGACGAGGCTCCCTTCGCGAGCTTGACGGCGAGTTCAAGAGTAAGAGTCAAAAGGTAGACATTGGCACCGTGATCCTTCTATTATGGATCTCGGTGATCGTATCTTTTCTCTCCAATTCGCCAGCTTTACAATTACCATCACTATCCCGGCGTACAAGTGAGTGAGCGTGTACAATAATACTAATTGATGGAGGCATAGATATCATAAGGAACCATGTAGCATTCTGATCTCATTAGATCTGATCGCCGATCATCGACCCGTTCTCGCGTAGGAGGTTTATTTTCCTATTCTACAACGCTTCACGTCCCATATCTTACCTTACCCTCCTACCATCCCAAGTATTCACAGTATTTTCCACACCACTGTATATCCGTACATTTATTTGCCAAACACGTAGAAATCCGCAACTGCACTTGAATAAAAAAAAAAACAAGTAACGAGTGCATTTTTAATTGCAACCCTCCACTTTTTGCCACCCACTTGTATAGCGTGGCGGCGGCAACGTTTACTGTTGTTATCGTCGTCGTCGTCGTCGTCGTTAGCAATACGAGTACAGAGTAATAGCGATAGCAATGGCAGCCAGCAAAAAGAGGTCCTTGAGTTGAAACATATGAATTTGTCAGCCTGGTTAACTTAATTCAATCTTACCTGAGGCTATTTGACGCGTTGCTTTTGCTTTATCTCAAAAACAGCACAAGCAACAAGCTGAAGCTGATAGGCAGCATTGTAAAAATGTGTACGTACATATGTACATACATATGTATCAGAGAGCTGCACAAATGCGCTTAGAACTCATTTCAAGTCAAATAAAGAAAAGCAACATGTACGGTAGGTTATTCGGATAGGTGTTCCAACTTAGGTAACATGGAAATGGAGCGGAGTTCTTCCTATTCCCCGACTAAAAAGTCTTCAGAATCCATCCCCTGTACTCTATAAAGTAGTGCCCACTGAAAAAAAAAATAAAACACTTTTTTCTAATATCGCTCGCCCCTCGGCAGTCAATGGCAAACCTTCGAGCGTATTTTTGCCATGAAAAACAGCTTCTGATAAAAATACAATCTAGAAGTCATAAGTCTGCTTTTCCTATGGATAGCAAGAAATCTGTTGCTTTTTTAATGTGAGGCCTGCAAATAACCTTTGCAACCCTGCAGCCCTGTGTACGTTTCAATATTCTGTCTGCCTAATGGGACATGCGAAGTTCATGTGATCGTTGAATTTCCTTTAGAGAAATTGGTACGCACATAAGTACGTCGTTATCTCGAAGAACGCGCTCTTTCGCCACACTGTAAAAAAAAATTTTGTTTAAATTTGCGCATATTAAGATAGGTAACCAGTTTTCTCTCTTAGTGAATGCAAATTTAAACACCGTGTTAATTCAATTACACATTGCCCGTTTACTTTTACTTATCATATGTCTGGCGTAGAATAAATTTCAAATTAGTTAGCTGAGTTCTAAACAGATATCGTTCAAAATTTCACAGTTTACACATAAAATATTTAAAATTTCCTCTACTATATTCTTGTTTAAATTTACGCATATAACGAGAGGTAACCATTTCCTCTCCTAATGTGTGCAAAATTAAACACTGTCTGTTTACTTTTACATACCAAATTTGTCACGTAGAGAAAACTTACACATAAAGTGTTTAAAATTGAGTCAAGATGAGCACTTAATGTTTATTATTAGTAAATAACATATATTTTTACTTTCAAAATTTTTGCAATTTTAAGCATTTTATGTGTATATTTATGTGTATTTTTTAAACATCGCTTGTTTAAAATCAAATCTTGAACACATTGTACGTATATTTACACGTATTCTGGTTGAAAAATAAACACTTTTCAGTAGTAGTTTTACATGCACTTTTCTAAGTGTAGCTCGTCAGCTTTTCATTCCCATACCATCAACGTATTTGTGTTCTGGGACCCAATGCAATGTGCATCATTTATGTCATGCCTAACCCTCCTAAGTATTGCTTTCTTACCATCTTTGACGGCCTTCTTATATAATGTACATACATACGAGTATATGAAAGTATATATAGCCTTAATGTCAGCCTCTCATTGTACATGTGGTTTCGGATTTGTTTACTGCAGTAGCTCTGGCACTTTAGTTATTGCCAAACCTTCAGTTTGAAAAATACTAGTACGGGTGGTCGGGTAGCCTTTAAATGTCTGATTCATAGCAGTAAACCCCAGCTCCTACTCATTCATTCATTTTAGAACCGTCTGTGTAACAGTGCGCCGCGTCAACTCCAAATTTCGTACGCCAACCATCGACTTCTCGTAGTAATTTCAAGAGACCTTTCGAAACTCAGGCTCGGAATCACAAATCCTATTTCTCCTATTAGGGTTGGCGCTATACTGCTGTAACCATATGTCCTGAATCCAAACTGACCTGAGACATAAAGTCTTACTGCATTTATAAACGCTATGTTTTTAACTACTACATCCTCAAGGCACCGGTTATGCTAATCATAGTTCTTCTTCGTCTTCTTTTTCATCACTGTCTATCACACTACCTAATACCTCGTAAAATACTATAGCCTAACAATAGACTAGAGTATCCAATGTGAAAAAGCAATCGCAAGACCCCACAGTCAGCCCTAAATCATTTTACATGCCGATACTTTCTTTACTTGCCCCTCCGCACTGGGTTTCCACGACAGTTTGCTGTCCAGTACGATTCCAACGTACTTTGTGTTAGAATTTTCTTGTTAAGTAGTCCTTCTTAATTTAGGCCTGCTCCACGTCATTGGAAACTTTTAATTCCTTGTTAATATTACATAATCGGTATTTTTCGTATTGACGCTCAGCCCAATTTTCATCAAGACGTTTACCGCTATGGATGACTCAAGCGTGTTCATACTTCTCCAAGAATTAACAGGATAACGTTGTTTTGAATTTTTCTAGTGGCTTATTGCTTATTGTATGTAGAATCAATTGCACTTGTGCAGCTCTCTAATTTGTACATAATCTTTGTAGGCTGAATTTGCAACATGTTCATTAACTTTTTCCACTTTTTCTACTCTTTCTTTCCAGGCACCTTAACTGCTCGCCCTGCATCTGAGCCGACCCGAGGCTGAGGATTATAAAACCAAAAAAAGAAGCATCGACAACGGCAACGGCACAACTACCTAAAACAGCTGCCGCCGCTTAGCAGAAAAACTGCACACACACAGCACGCTAGGCAAATGAACAGCAAGAGCAATAACAATAACAATAACAACTACAACAAAAAAAAAAACAAGAACAATAAGAAACAGCAAAAGCAACAGCGCGCGCCGCCTGCATTTATTATTATCTGCTCGTATTGAATTACAATACAAATGCACATCCGCTACCTACAGGTCGGTCGACTGTTGGTCGATGGTTGGCAAAGTGTAGCTTTGTAGTTACATAGTAGTGTTTGTGCGTACACCGAGTAGTTGGATATTTTTTCTTTAAAATTTTCTCGTTCTTTTTTTTTTTTGAAAAGTGTATTTCACTTTACGACGAACGGAGTGGTTGCCCCGCTGAATTGGTTGTTTCTTGTCTTTTGCGCCTACCGCCGACAGCGAGGAAATTATCAACCACCACCAACAAACACCGAAGCCAGAAGAGATGCCTGCTGCAACAGCTATCGAACGAAATTGTGTAGTCCAATTATTTTATTGTTGTTAGTGTACTTTTAATGTGCATTTAAAATAACAATTGTGTGTGCTTGTGTAACGTTTTTTTTTTTGTGTGGCAGTGTTCAGTGCAGCATTGCAACACAGTTAGAAGGAACGTGCGGACGACGGTAGTTGGACGATACGAATCGAAGGTGGTACGTATTGTGTAGGTGATTACCGGTGCGGATTGCGCGACAAATACGTGAACGAAGAACAAAAATTGCACAAAAGCACAAAATAGGTTAAAAATTAATAAGAAAAATCGAAAACAGCGAGAAAATTAATAAAAACAACGAATAACGAAGTTTACATGTGAAAAAATGCCACAATTGTTTTGTTGCGTGCCACGGCAACAACAACAAAAGCTTAGCGAAACAATTGCGTGCGTGAAAATAACGAGTACATTACCACACAACGTAATCATGTGATTTAGTTAGTTTAAAATGGGAAAAAAATTTTGAACTGCTGTTCGAAATCACACGAAAAAAGTGCGAAATTTAACAAACAAAAAAATCAGCTTGACGCCGCCGCTTACCGCTAAATGACCAAAGCCAGAAGCCTTGCCTGCCTAAGGAACTGCATAAAACGTTTAACAAAACAACAGCAAAAACTAAATTAAAAATAAAAACAAAAAAGGAAAAAAAAATAAACCGTTTTCCAGTATTCATTCACCTTAAAAAAAAAACAACAACAGAAAACATCACACAACAAAAATCATTACACCAAAACTTCAGCAAAAATTCTCCAGCGCCCTCCTTCATACACCATACATCAACACACACCTACGCACACACACACACACACACACACACACGCTCGCGCTATTTTAATGTACGGCAATGACGCACCTGCAACCCCAACGTCGCTTCTACTCCCCAATGCGGCGATTTAAAGGAGGCGGTGGTGGTGATGGTGCTGGCAGCTTAAGCGCAGCAAGTGTCAGTAGATATGCACAAGCAGATGCTCGCAACAGCAATAGCAATAGCAAAAACAACAACAACTCCAGCAACAGCAATAACAGCGAAAGTGCAATTGCCATTGACGCCGCCTTTGCTTCTGCCTCTATCGGCGGTGGTGGTGGTGATTGTGGTGTAGAAACAGTGTTTAACACTAACGCTTGCACGGCAGCTGTTGCGCTCGATTGTTGCAGCAGTAATGGTGGTGATGGTGTTGTAAGTGCGGCACATTGCCACACTCCATCGTCCTCCCGCACAGCAAGCCACCCGACAGCAATGTACACACGCGCCGCCGCCAGTATTCTTCACCCCAACAGCCACAGCGTTCTCCACCACCTTCCACCAATCATTCTTCGTCGTGAACGTCGCCTTTGTTGGCTCTTTTGTGTAAATTCTCACTTTCTCCTCCTCATCCTCCTACTGTTGCTTGCTGCCTGCGGTGATTTCCTTCAGGTTGCCGCCGAACCATATGGCGGCTCTTCGGTGGGCATACATATACCCGGCGGCAGTTTGGGCGTGATCAGTGAATCACGTTGTCCGCGTGTGTGTTCGTGTAATGGCCTGACGGTAGACTGTTCGCATCGTGGTTTAACACAAGTGCCGAGGAAGATATCAGCGGATGTGGAGAGACTGTAAGTACACGAATTACTTATGTGGCGTTTTTTGCTTAGTTGGTTTTTTTTTTACATTATTATCATACATATGTTTGATTTTTGCGAGAAAAGGACATGCAAAGTGCATTTCCGCAACAAATGTATATGTATGTACATTAGGCTGGTCAAAAAAAAAAGTAAAGTCGTAATTTTAATGCTCTCAACAGCTCAAAGCTCTCAAAGTTTTCCATGTATTTTATATGAAAAAAAAACTTTTTGCAGAAATAATATAGAATTCTTGAAAATCAATATTTTTCGATTGGAAAACTCTGGTTCTCTTCAGGAGACTTCCAATAATTGGATATTATCGTTTATTTAACCATTTTTTAATACAGAAGATTTGTTAATGGTCCCCCATTGCATTTTCTGGGATTTTTTGCTGACCTATAAAATGTAGTTGCTATAAAAAAAATATTATTAAATAAACATTCGGGCATTATTATTGGAAATCTCCTAATCCGATCGAAAAATATTGATTTTCAAGAATTCTATATCAATGTAAAAAATTTTTGATTTCAAAGTAGAAAATAGGAGTATATTTTTTGGTATAGAACAATCCTAGGGGTAAGAGCATAAAACTTCGGACTTTACTTTTTCCCCCACATTCATTTTTCGACCACCCTAATGTGCATACATACGATATGTACCTTAGACCGTACCTTCGCCGTACGAAAGTGTTTTTTCAAAGACAATTTCGAACGTAGGTAACGCCTTTATACATTTTTCGTCATTTCTTCAGCATTTAGAGTCAAATCTTAAAGTATAATATACGCATGTACTTGTCTTGAGAAGAAAATTTTTTTGTTCCAAAGTCCATTGACTTAACGTACCATCCTATTGTCAATAAATCAAATCTCTCCAAACAGTCATTAAACCTTTGCTAAGAAAGTATTTCGATTGTTACAATAGAACTAATTTTAAAATGATTTTTTTTTACTCCCGAAAGTAGATGTCACCGTAAAATTTAAAAAGGCAACCCCTAGTTTCGGCCAAAAAAAAATTTTTTCGAAATTGTCTGGCAAAAGTATTTTAGACTCAGGAGTGTACGGCGGACTTTTTTGTTTGCTCTTAAGGTAGTACGGCCTAATGTGCTTATATGAAAGCACACACACACACAAATACATATGTTGTATGCGTAGATGTATTAATTTATAGTTACAACTTTATATTGAAAGTTCATTAAACATCTAATCAGTAATTTGCAAATTGAAGTCTCAACTTTAGATTAGGCTTTTCGCTTTTATATATTTATGACAAAGCGAAAACTTTACTTGTAGTAATTAAAAAACTTCCATAGGACTCAATAGGAAAGAGGAAGAAGAGAAGTGCAAGGAAAACAGAAATTAGAAAGTTAAAAAAAAACTCGTGTTCAACACGAGCAACCCATCTGCGAGATGCGGTAACAAATCCGATTGTAGCCTTGGCTCACGGCAGAAGGAGAGGGACCTTCGGCTGGGCCACTCCGACTTATTCGGTTTAAGGGACAGAAGTCTGCAACGTCTGTTCACCAGTAGTTGTGCAGCAATCGGCTCACAATATAAAGGTTTATTCGGTTGTAAAACCACCCCCGTCCCAGCAATAGGTTATGCGCTGAGTTTGGGAGTTGAGCAAGCCTCGGATCGGCAATCGTTTAACGGACTACGATTTGAGGGCATGCACCTGGAATGTCCGAATCCTCAATGGGGAATGTGCCTCTGCCCGGCTGGTTGATGTTCTTGTAGGACAAAAGCTGATATCACCGCCATCCAAGAAATGCGTTGGATGGGGCAAGCCAAGAAATGTCTGTGGCTGCCATATAAAGGAGCGCAAATTCGGTGTTGGATTTGTAGTGGGAGGGAGACTCCATCCCCGAGTACTGCCGTTCACCCGGGCCCGAAACATGGTAGTACGCAGTACTAGGTTCACGCATAAACAGATCCATCAAGCTGCGTGGCTGCCGCCGAATCGAAAAACCAGAAACCAAATCGATGGTGTTGTGATAGACGGAAGGAAAGCTTCCAGTGTTATAGGCCCAAACGTCGACTCGGCTCACTATCTTGTTGCAGCCAAGATACGCACCCGGTTCTGTGCAGCAAAAAATGTGCGGCCAAAAATGCACGCAAAGCTTAACGTCGAAAAGTTGCAAGCCCTAAAGAACAACTGGTACGATGAGGAGTATCAAGAAGGGGCAGAGACATGCCCATGTGGGACCGCTGTAGAGAACTGAAGCGGGAAGCGAGACGTATTTGTCGCGATAAGACGGGAAAGACCGAAAAACGTGTGTGCGAAGAGCTTAAAATACTGGCCGATAGGAAAAACGCCCGAAAATTTTACCAGCCAGTTAGAAAACTTACGGAAGGTTCAAGACCAAGGCGAACTCCTGTAAGAACAACAATGGCGACCTAGTGACCGACGTCCAAAAATTATGGAACGCTTTTCCACCCTACTAAATGGTAGCAGCACGAATACCAATTACGCTGAAAAACAACAAAGCTGTTGCAGCTGACAACCTGCCATATGAGCTTTTCAAGCACGGCGGCGAGGAGCTGATGATCAACTCTTATGCAGAGTATAGTCAGATGAATGCATGACCGACGACTGAAATTTAAGTGTGCTCTACCCAATCCATAAAAAAGGTGACCCCGAAATTCATGCCAATTACGGCGAAATCAGCCTTCTCAGCATAGGTTATAAGGTCTTATCGAGCGTATTGTGTGAAAGACTGAAGCCCACCGTCAACGAACTGATTGAGCCTTGTCAGTGTGGCTTTAGACCTGAAAAATCCACCATAGATCGACACTTACCACCTATTTGTCGACTTCAAAGCCGCTTGTGACAGCACTAAGAGGAGTTGCCCATACTCCGAAATGTCTGAATTTGGTATCACTCTTGTCAACAACTGCTACTTTGGACTGAGTAGGCGACCGAGAAGTAAAGTCCTCTCTTGGCGCACGAAAATCACTCTCTGTAAGACACTCATCATCCCTGTGCTGGTTTATGGCGCGGAGGGAAAGATTTTGCGGAAGATTTACGGGCCTTTACGCTTTGGCGACGGCGAGTACCGCAGACGATGGAACGAGGACCTGTATGAGCTTTGCAACGACATGGACATAGTGCAGCGAATTAAAATACAGCGGCTCCGATTGCTTGGCCATGTCGTTCGAATAGATATCGACGCTGTAGATCTGAAAGTATTCAACTCGGAATCTGCTGGTGGTAGCAGAAGAAGAGAGTGGCCCCCAATGCGATGGAAAGACTTGGCATTTCCAATTGCGTCAGTTAGCACAGAAGAGGAACGACTGGCTGGCTTTGTTGAACTCGGCCAAAATCGCTTAGGCGCTTACAGAGCCATTGCACACTCATCTGTATGCATTGATATCAAATCGAATCATTTGTCAATAGTTTGGCCTAATCTGTTTTTTTTCTAAACAAATGAAAATTCTTTCACTGAAACTGATATTTAGGTTTGATTTAAATACTTAATTCATCAAAATGCTAAAATTAAAAATAACTGCGAAAAAACATAAAATTATCGAGAAATTTTTAAATGATTTTGATGTCTATTTAAAATTCTGCTTTTCACTGTCATAATAATGATCAATGTAATGATGTTGTCGACCTTAATGGCTGATGACCCCAAATTGCGATAATTGCGAATTGTGCCATACTCGTTGTACTCGCAAAACTGGCAAGCTGGCAAATTGCGGTACCATCATTACACTCTACTCTGTACAACACAACATTTTGGATTTGGACGTGATGTCCAACAACAACGAATTCATTGTATGAGAACAGATGTGTGTTTCCATTATTTTTACGTTTTTCTTTTTTTGTTTTTTGCTTGAATTAAAGGCATCACATTATTTTCACAAAATTTATAAAATTACAGTTAAACACTATAATAGAAAGCCATTAAAACCTACGTGTTTCTTTACATATAAACATTTGTTGAAAAAGATTGAAGGAATAACAAACTCATATCAAAGTGCAGTTATGTACATATGACTAATAAAAAAATGGAAGAGCGGTATCTGTGCTGAAAAATTATGAAAAATTAAATATGAAGCAGGGAGGGGGTAGTCTAGTAACACAACTACATAGTAATCGTCATGAAAGACGGTCTGTCCCTCTTTTACTTTCATTCCGAAAGTCGAAAGGAGAGACTATACCCCAACTAAATCATCCAGGCTGTTTAGTCTAAACTTTTTGCTGGAAGCTATGTGATAGGCATTAAAGACCCCAGGATGGAGCAATCTATGTCTATGGGGAAATTCCCATTTAATTTTTCAAGCGAGGATCTACGCCATTATGTAGTCTATGTGCAGAGATTAACTTGCATAGGAATTACCGCAATGAGAGCATTCTAACCCTTAGCGGCAGCTAGGTGCACTCACGGCTCTCTTTTACTTTGAGGCTAAATATTCTGTAGTTCTGGAGTTCATTTAGAAACTTAACAACCTTGCTCCACACATTGATATCCGACTGCTTTGAGAGCATTCTAACCCTTAGCGGCAGCTAGGTGCACTCACGGCTCTCTTTTACTTTGAGGCTAAATATTCTGTAGTTCTGGAGTTCATTTAGAAACTTAACAACCTTGCTCCACACATTGATATCCGACTGCTTTGGGTAACAGGTCCCAAGTGGATAGTGGGAAAGGAAGTAATGGACTGCAGCGGTCTCAACCCCCATAGGGCCTGCAGTAGGTACAAACACAATCAGGGCAGTGTTCAAGAAAAATAAAATAACAATGAGAGAACGACACTACTAGCCAAGCACCACCTTATGGGCGGGGTTCAATTTGAAGAGATGCAGTAAGTTTAGTCGAAGAAGATTTATAAATCTACATACACTAGCTAGAATATGTTTCCGTACAGTGTGTTTTTTTATATTTACAATTCTATTCTACAAAATTTATTTAAAAGTTGAATATTTGTCGAATCTTCCTAAATTTTGTAAAAACTTTGAATCATTAATCTATATTTCATTTGACGCTGAATGGA